ACTGAAGTTTACGGTAAGTTGATTCAGACATGACTGAGGTATCTGCTCCTGAATCAATCTTAAACGGTACAGTTTTCCCACAGACTTTCAGGTTCACCTTCCATACTGCTTGATCGTCATAACAAGTAGTGATCGAGCCCAAGGAATCCTTCTTCATACAATCCTCCAGGTTCTGGATGTACTATTTCCACAATGTATATTCTGCTTACAACACACGGCAGTGATCATATTTGTGATACCGTTGTTGCCACTGTTTGCTCCTAGCGATACAATGATCCCTTGCATGTCGTAGATTACATTTGTTACACTTTCCTTGACCTTGTCCTGTGGTGTGATGGTTGCCCTCTGCCACGCCCACCTGAGTGTCTGTGTCCTCGACCTCTGCCTGGGCCGGTGTTAAAATTCCGCTGACTTGACTATGTTTACGGACTGCTTTCACATTTGTAGCTGACACACTCTTAACCATTTCTGATTGCTGCGCGATTTCTACTGCTTTCTCCGAGTGTCAGGTCTGATCTGAGCTGTAGTTTCTCTGAGAGTTCTTTGTCAGATATTCCGATCACTAATCGATCCCTAATTTGCTCCTTCTTGTCAGCAAAGTCACAATATTCAGAAATTTCGTGAAGATTTCTAACGAAAGTTTCTATTGACTCACTGGGTTGTTGTGTGCGCTGATGAAATCTGGCTCGTTCGTGGATAATATTTCTCTTTGGAATGAAATATTCGTCAAATTTCTTGAAGACTTTGTCAAACTTCTTCTCATCCTCTTGATCTTCGAACTGTAGGGACTTAAATATGCTCTGCCTCCTTACCCATTGCGTAGATAAGTGCGCTGATCTGGACCTCCGGGTCATCTTTTTTCAACTTCGAGGCCATTCTAAAGCGGGAAAATCGTTCCGTCCAGTCGAGTCACTCTGTCGGGTTACTGAAGTTAAAACTCTCCGGGGGTTGAAACGAGGCATGGTTCTGTTATCGGCTTAATCTGTCCGCTAAATATACAGGAAAAATTACTGGAATCCCGCTTCTGACACCATGTTCAGACGAGCCATTGAAAACACGTGTGATCAACTCAATCATTTATTAAGAACACATCATAAGCGATGTCATACACAAGACTACACATAAAGGTCACATGGTACACAAACAGCTGATAATGAATGAATGAATGAAACATGAATTCGAAACACTACATTGGCTTTTTACTGGCATAAGCCCTACCACGAATGTCGATCGGTCATTTCCGTAAACTTTGACCGGCCGAGAAGCTTTCGGCAAACCTCTGCTGCTTCCGTTACCTCCTTCAAACAAGAAATGGGAAAAACATTGTAAAGCATGCAAGCAATAAAAATCAAATTTTATTTACAATGAAATTAAAGAGACCTTTTTTAGCTCACCTGAGTCGAAGGCTCAAGTGAGCTTTTCTGATCACATTTTGTCCGTCGTCCGTCCGTCTGTCTGTCTGTCTGTCCGTCTGTAAACTTTTCACATTTTCGACTTCTTCTCAAGAACCACTGGGACAATTTTGACCAAACTTGGTACAAAGCATCCTTGGGTGAAGAGGAATTTAAATTGTTAAAATGAAGGGACATATCCCCTCGCAAGGGGAGATAATCAAGAAAAAACAAAAATAGGGTTGGGTCATTAAAAAATCTTCTTCTCAAGAACCACTGGACCAGTAAAGCTGAAACTTATGTGAAAGCATTCTGGTATAATGTAGATTCTAAATTGTTCACATCATGACCCCCGGGGGAAGGGCGGGGCCACAATGGGGAATCAAAGTTTAACATAGAAATATATAGGAAAAATCTTTGAAAAGCTTCTCAAGAACCATCTGCCAGAAAAGCTGAAACTTATGTGGAAGCATCCTGGTATGATGTAGATTCTAAATTGTTCACATCATGACCCCCGGGGGAAGGGCGGGGCCACAATGGGGTATCAAAGTTTTACATAGAAATATATAGGAAAAATCTTTGAAAATCTTCTTCTCAAGAACCACTGGGCCAGAAAAGCTGAAACTTATGTGGAAGCATCCTGGTATAATGTAGATTCTAAATTGTTCAAATAATGACCCCCGGGGGAAGGGCGGGGCCACAATGGGGAATCAAAGTTTTATATAGAAATATATAGGAAAAATCTTTGAAAATCTTCTCTCAAGAACCACTGGGCCAGAAAAAGTGAAGCTTATGTGGAAGCATTCTGGGGTAGTGTAAATTCTAAATTGTAGGAATCATGACCCCCGGGGAAAGGGCGGGGCCATTATAGGGAATCAAAGTTTTACATAGAAATATATAGGAAAAATCTTTGAAAATCTTCTTCTCAGGAACCACTGGGCCAACAAAGCTGAAACATATGTGCCCATGGAAGGATCATGGGGTAGTGTAGATTTCAAAATGTCTAAATTATGATCAGTGGGGTAGGGTGGGGATGCATTATGTATAACAAGGGGGAAATCTGGTAAAGAACAGAATGGTCAAAGCTTCTCATGTGAGCGATGTGGCCCATGGGCCTCTTGTAGTTATTGCTAAAAAATCTCATGTTATTTAGAATTAATCACGGCTGATGTTGTTCGTTTTGTCATTTTTTAAAGATTGAAAATATTACAAAATTGTCAAGTCGTACGAAAATTAGATCATCAAAATTGTTATCTTCCTTGCCTTGAACAGCATTTCAACCAATGAAATAACTGATATTTTCTCATCATGCAATTTCTACAAATCACGAGAGAGAGGAAGTGCATAGCCCGAAGACTGTAAAAAGCTTCAACTATATAATACCGTCTTCCAAGTAAGACGGCAATATTCTTATATATCGGCTTTTGATTTCGGTGAACGTGTTGTCGTGGTTACTAAAAATAGAAATTTCCGTGAAATACTTTAAAAAATGCTACTCATCCTACAGTTTTGGTCTGATTTTAATATACCGGTAACTTGACAAACAAGAAGACTAAATTAAGATACATAATTCTGTATATCAGTTTTTGATTTCGATGAACGATGTTGCCGTGGTTACTAAAAATAGAAATTTCTGTGAAATACTTTCAAAATGCTACTCCTCCTACAGTTTTGGTCTGATTTCAATATAACTTGGCACACGAGAAGACTTCACTAGAATTCATAATTCTGTATATCGGTTTTTGATTTCAATCAACGGTGTTGCCATGGATACTAGAAATAGAAATTTCTGTGAAATACTTTCAAAATGCTACTCCTCCCACAGTTTTGGTCTGATTTCAATATAACTTTGCACACAAGTAGACTACACTAAGATACATACAGGTAAATATCAGTATTTCGAACATGGGATATCTCGAATACCCCACTTATGTCGAAGTCGATCGCCGGTCCCGGCCGTATTTTCTATATATATGATTTAAAAAACTACTGATATCTCGAACATGGTAATCTCGAATACCCCGCTTATGTCGAAGTGTATTCAAGGTCGCAAGTATATGTTGGTAAACTTTTCCCGAGTACCATGAGATTTGGTGCCGAGCGAAGCGAGGGACCAAATCGAATGGCGAGGGAAAAGTTAAACAACATACTTAGTACATGCTTCACACGAGAAGTTAAGCCCTTTGTGTCCCTGTCTATTTAATTACATATCTTTGTGTGTTTCTTATTATTCAATCAAGATAAGGATAGTTTGACACTGACTGTTGCCATTTTGTACAGGCCCAGATGTGATAATTGTACCCTCGGGTAATATCTACCTTTCAGGTGACGGTCTACAGTGAGTAGTTTTCAAATACAATACAGGTTCATTTCTATAGATTCAAATATCTCTGTATGAAGATTGTCATGTCATTTTGATGGATTTAAGTCAGGAGCATTTTATTTTTGTTTGGACATTACTAAACATTTGTTTTGGGTGGTAAAATTGATAAATTTCTCCTGAAAAGCAAAGAATTCCTCAGAAAACGAAAAGCAGGAAAAGAAAGGCTTACGGTTGGATATATACATGTACATTACTTGAGCAATACGGGACGGTTCCAACGTATTTGAACTTCTTTAAAAAAGATCATATTTAGACTTTTTGCTGTTTCCCAATCGGTCAATATCTGTTTATTTGGAATCAAAGAATAAATTAAATAGTTAAGTAACATTTTTATTGTTCTCACTTCTCAATGCGATAATACTGATTATTATATAGTTTATTTATAGTCCCTATATAATCTAATAGATACAAACGCAAACAGTTCATAACACTGCATATTCATAGGATTCGAGGCCGTATTTACCGGAGGGTAAGTGCGCGTGCCACGGCATTGTGACGTCACAATCAACGTTGTTAACAATGGTTGCAACGACCGAAACCAGCTATGTATCTGAGCGGGAAAAATGGCAGACAAACCTATCGCAGGATTTTTTTAAACATCTGGACGCCTTACACATAACGAAACCATCATTCATTGTCTGGTGACCTTTCCCTGTGTCCATGATTGTAACCTATAATTGGTAATGATTTGCTCAATAATTATGCACACAATGGAAGAGTCGCCCAACCATGAAGCTTGGGCTTGGGGTTTACCAAGTGATTTGGTAGCAGCAAAAATCCTTTGCGAGGTGTTAAAACATGTACAAAGTTCAAATTTTACCTGCTTATCTCGAAGTGCAGTGAATTTTCCGGTCTACTGAACACATCTGGTGTCGTAACTTCACGCATTCTTGCCAGTGGCAAATAATTAGCACCTTCGAAACCCTGGCGTATCTTAATTAATCCCAAGCTTCTGAGGGTTATCTATGTCACGATAATCGGTATGATAGCCTGGGTGCTTGGTGTAGTTTACGATTAATAAATAAGCAAGTTCACAGCCACTCTGAAATTAATACAGTCAGTATTACCGATAATGCATTTAATAATGCACACTAAATGAATAACATCGGAAATTCAAAAAACACAGGGATTCTTCAAAGTGAACTTGAATTAAACTTGAATTAAACAATTATAATGTTAGTAGGCTATAAAATAGGACGTAAAATAATTTTTCATCATTCAACAAGATGTCTCAAGACAGTACAGAGAAGAATTCCAGACCTGGTCTCAAGAGAAAACTAAAGACCCATACGATTGAAACAAAGTTTCAAGCCATCGCTGATGTTGAAAAAGGAAGAGATAGTAAAGCGGCCATTGCGAAGAAGTGTGAAATCCCCCCAGCACCTTATCAACGTGGATCAAGAATGCCGAGAAGATCAATGTGGCCTACAAACAGAGCGCATTCGGACCACAGGAAAAGAAGATTAGAACGGCGACCTACAAAGACACAGACCAAGCAGTTCTGCAATGGTTCAAAACAGCCAGAGACCAAAATGTTCCAGTGTCCGGGCCCCTTCTCATCGCTAAAGCACAGGAGTTCGCTTCTCAGCTTGGCGATGAGTTCAAGTGCACCACTGGGTGGCTCGAGCGCTTCAAAGAGCGCTTCTCAGCTTGGCGATGAGTTCAAGTGCACCAATGGGTGGCTCGAGCGCTTCAAAGAGCGCCATAACATTACCTTTAAACGTGAGTGTGGCGAATCAAAGGCCATAAATGAGGGTACTGATCAAATGACAGAGTGGTCTTCCACTCTTCAGACCCTCTTAGGTGAATACAGTCACAGTGACATCTTCAATGCCGATGAAATGGACTGTTTTATTCGCCTACTACCCGACAAAACTCTCGAGTATAAAGGGGTAGATTGTCTGGATAACATCAGAGCTCTTTACAGCCTGGCTGAGAAAACTGGACAGACGCTTTCAGCACCAGAAACGCCATGATCGTCGACAACTGTCCAGCCCACCCGAAAGTCGACGGTCTGAAAGCCATCCGACTGTTTTTCCTGCCACCCAACACCACAAGCAAGACACAGCCCATGGATCAAGGAATCATACAGAACCTGAAAGTCCACTACAGAAAGCAAGTCATTTTGAAACAACTTCAGTCAATAGAGAAGAAGATAGAGCTACAGATAACAGTCCTGGACGCCCTCAGAATGCTCAACAACGCCTGGAACAAAGTCACAGAGAAAACCATCAACAACTGCTTTCGACATGCCAAATTTGTCATCAATGAGCCAGAAGTTACATGAATTTATTTATTTTCTATTTATTAAGTTAAGATTTTACGTGATAAAAAGAAGAAAAATATTTGTTTCATTTATTGCAAGAATGCTTGATACTTAACATCATACTTGATTGATATTACCGGTATGGTAATAATAGGTCATGAGTCAAAAACACATTACGACCATACTGAAATTTACCGATTCAAAATTGTAAGATAACTTCGGACATCTCGAACCCAATACATGAATTAAATGAAAAAGTCCTGTTAAATCGCTCAAGCTTTTTCTTTCCAAAACCGATCCAAATGCAACCAGGCTCTTCAAACATCGCTTAAAACCTGTCTTATCCTCTCCAGAAAATGAGACCTCGTGGTCTAGTTGTGTCCCGGTTCAAAGTACCAGTTTAGTCGTTACGTGTACGACATTTCCAAAAATGTTAATTGCAGCACATATTACACGGCTCATTGTCAAGCTACTACAATCCAATGAATGAATGATTCAGGTTTTGAAATTAGACGTGTCATGCAAATGTCCGGACCTAAAAAGGAGCTCTAAGAAGTTATGCCTAATCTAACGATACGATATATCCTGATGAGCTTGAGATAAAAGACACCACAGAGTCTGACACACCTGTTTCATATTTGGATATTTTACTTGAAAAAAAATCGTTAATTTAATGGTCATCTAACAATCAAGCTCTATGATAAACGTGATGACTTTAACTTTTCTATCGTCAGCTTCCCTTACTTATGCAGCAATATACCTTCATCACCTGCATACAGAGTTTATATACTAGTATCTCAATTGATTCGATACAAAAGAGCATGCTCTACGTAAGAACAATTTCTAAAACGAGGTAAATTATTGACAAACAAGTTGATGAAACAATATCAACAGTCTCGCTTTAAGTCATCATTTCGTAAGTTCTATGGTCGACCTTGACAGCAAATACAATTTATCATTCAGTCAGATTGTAAGTCCATTATTTACAGACTAAATTGACGACGGATTTTTCCGTTATTTCCTAATTAGGTCAAGGAGGACACGGCGGGTATGACCGGTCGGCAGGGGATGATAACGAACAGTATTCAAGATCAATTTAAGTCCATAAAACAATACAAAATAGGAGCATAGCAAACAAGGACCTCAATGGTAAATTGTATTTGCAGCATTTTCGACTGTTAACCCATGGAGCATTGCTGAAAAAATTAAACTATCTTCCATGAAGTCAAATGAAATTACCAATACTATTCTAGCATACATACATGTAGTACATGATCTACGACCTTTGAACACCATTGAAATCCTGTATTTAGGTAAGTTTTTTATTCAACTGTTCTTGAATTTACAAGCAGCCTAAACAGTTAAAAGCAAACCAATCTCTCCCTGTATAATATTTTATTTCTCGTTTATTGATACAGAAACATGATTAAAGCCATGGAACCATGTATCAGCCCCCTAATCGACAGAGACTCGGCGAACAACTCATTCCAGCATTATTATTGATTGCAAGACCCGCTGGAATTCCACTTACCAAATGATTCAGAGGTTTTTAATTCAGAGGCCTGCAGTCCTTGCGGTACTTCTTGATGAAAGGATCAAAAAGTCTAAAGCAGTAAGTCGAATGACAGATCATGAAGTTCAAATTTGTGAAGATTTTGTCTCTGTCATGAGGGTGATGTTAACAGCTACATTAGTTCTTTGTGAGGAGAAGACTCCTACCTCTGGACTGATTTTGCCTCTGCTGGGAAAACTATTGCATCATTTTGAGAGAAAGGAAGGGGATTTTTCGATTTCATACTAACTTTGAAAAATGCTGTTGGACAGAATCTTGCAACACGATATACTGACAATAATGTGCGGATGTTTTTAGAGGAATCCAGTGCTTTGGATCCAAGAACCAAAGGCAAGCCATGTATTCAAGCAGAAACTTGGGAAAGATTGGTGGACAAGTTGTCAGTGATGGACTTAAATGTTAATGCAATCAAGAAAGAGGTAGATGCTAAACCAGTGACGCCAGTCAACATTCCACAAGTAAATCACATTCCGCTGCCAGCACTTCCAACCATTCCTGATCACCTCAAGTCTGGTAGTTCAACTGAGGATGATTCAGATGATGAGGTTAATTTAATTTGTAATTTTAGCATTTGATTAATAATTTAATTCAGATTTTCAATTATTAATACATTGTCAATTTATTATGATTAAATTCATCATTAAAGTTTGATTTAATACAAATGATATTTGGTTCTAAAGATCTTGAATGTCATTTATTAAGAATATAAAAGAATTTGTATGTAGAGATTCTAAAATACTATGTAAATGGTTCTAAAAATAAGAGGGTTTGGGAAAAAAAAAAATATATAGAATTATTAGCATTAATAGTTCATTAGTTCAACACTTCTTGTCATGAGATATCTCATTCTCTATTCCTTTTCAGATTCAAAACCCAGTGAACAAAAAGTACCAAGAACTGCTTTAGAGTCTTTGTTTAGGGAGGACGAGGTTTTAGTCACAGGTGAAGAATTCATAACTCCTGCTGAATTAGCAAGAAAAGAGGTAGAAAGTTACAAGGGACATAACCCAGCCTCCATGAAAGAAAACCCCTTAGAGTGGTGGAAGGAAAATGAAGTTTATTTTCCAAAACTGGCCAGGCTTGTTCGCACATACTTTTGTGTACAGGCAACATCTGTTGCCTCAGAGAGAGTGTTTAGTACTACAGGAGACATTGTTTCTGCAACGAGGGCCTGTTTGAGTCCAGAACGCGTGAATGAATTGGTCTTTTTGAAGAAAAATATGAAATTTTAAAATGTTGACTGTTATTTATTCATGATATGAATACTGATCTAGTTATCTTTTCTTCTGTTTCTTTTTCTCTTTGATCATGGACTCAAATAGGTCCTTGTTATTTGTTGAAATAAACTGTAAAAAAAAATCAGTTGTGTCTTTGTTTATTAAGAATAAGTACAATATATCGGATTTAAATGTATCGTATCGTATCGTATCGTATCGTATCGAAATCTTGGCACCAATACACAGCCCTAGTGGGATCCAATAAAAGTTGTCAAAGAAATAAAGTTTTAGGTGTCATTTTCGATCAAAAATCTTTTATTTCACATATAAAAATGCTAAAAGAAAAATTTACAAAAGTTCTAGACATAATTGAAGTCATAGCAAATACTAAGTGGGGGAGAAGATAGAGGTACTCGACGGAAACTCTATAGTTCTTTAGTCAGATCAAAACTTGGTTGTATTGTTTATGGATCAGCCAGAACGTCTTATTTAAAAGCACTAGACGCAGCCCACCACCAGGGCCTTCGATTGTGTTTGGGGGCTTTTCGAACCTCTCCAGCTGACAGTTTATAAGTTGAAGATAATGAACCACCTTTAGACTTAAGAAGAATTAAATTATTTTTACAGTATTTAACAATATTAAGGTATTCCGATCCTCAGGTTTATAAAATTAGCAGTTAAGTAATCAAAAATACTCATAAAATTATCCTCTGAATCCAAAAAGTTACGTAAATTTATCCGCAGTATTTTTTTTAAAGTTAAAGATTAAAGTTAATCATATTATATAGGGAACATTTTCAAATCTCCAATATTTTTTCAGGAAAAGCAAATTGGAATTGGTTAAAAACGATGTTTTATCTACACGACTACGGACTTCCGAATGAAGCATCAATATTTACAGCTGAAGCAAAGGCAATACAGCTTGCTTTTGGTTACATTAAACAAAGTAAATCAGACATCTGCTTTTGGCCTGAAACCCCAGGATGAAGTTGTTATATCAATTGTACATTTTTTAATTGTATTGTATCATTTTCCATTTGTAATATATCATGATATGCGGGTTATTTTTTTTCCTACGTATCGGACATTCAAGATATACTCATTCATATTTATTAAACAGGGAACACCAACCTGAATCTTGCGACTGTGCAATGACTAAAAATTATATACTATTAGAATGTACAGATTTTTCGCCTGTTAGGAGCATACTTTTTAATAATGTGCAAACAATGCATGACCTTTTTACAAATATTAACACTTATACAATTTTACAATACTTGAAGGAAACTGATTTTTACAGAAGATTTAGATTATTGTATTATATACTGAAAGGAAAAAGAAACGCAGGGCAGCATAATAATCGAATTTTTTTGACCGCATGACGGAAAATTACGAATATTGGTCAGATGAGAATGTTAGTTACTATGCACCAAAATCAGTGTTCAGAATCACTCAACCATAAAATGTATGACGTCACGAAGGGAAAACGCTAAAAAGCCCAAAACACGTGCAAATGGATGACGACGAGTTTGTCAACAAATCTTTTGTACCATTTGATGCACATGAGGTATACACATTGCAATCTGATTAAAATCAGATCCTTTGATCCGTTCACATAAAGATCGCTACACAAGGATCTGAAGTAACCCCATTCAGGGTAATCTCCTGGTGACCTTTCTCGTAAAAATATTCACAAGAAAACATTGATGTAACCATCAATTGTCGCCCGGGAACTAAGTAAAGTAAAAAATGAGTCTTGATCATCAAATTGCTTCGATATGTGTGAAAAAGGCATGCGTCTAAATGATGGAGACGATAGTCGAGAATATTTTGAAAACTTCGGATGAATATCGAACAAAAACGATACCCTTTTAATCTTTATCAATTCCCCATGTGAATGTTGGCTGCATAAAATATAAGTTGAAACCAGACACATGCATCACCTATGTTCAAAATGTATTCCACTGTAAGAATATAACACACGAACCGTGTGGAGAACGTTTTTATGCGGTAAGTAAAATTGTCATAAAAAAGGAATCTGTCATTTTTTCGATAGTAAATGATAAGCAACTTTATATATTAAAAATGAAAAACATATATTTCTTTTTTAAAGATTCACTTTTATGGAAATAAATATAGTATGTATCTCGTAAATTATAAAGGGAAAGAATATTCTGATTAACAATCTTTTTAATGTTTAGAAAACCTTTAATTTGAATAACTTCACTCACCTTAATCCCCATACACCAACACTTAAACTTATATGTATAGAGCAGCCCGGTCCTTCGGGCTTCAATTAAAACTTTGACCAATCAGCGAGATCGTATTAAATAACGTTAGGGAAAAAGAATGTAGAAGTGAAAGTAGCTGAGAAGATTTGGACAAACACCACTAAATGTTTTCCCATAGACTTCCATACAAACTTGAGCCCCTGTCACTCATACATATATTGAATTTCGGGCAAATGGCCTTTTTGTCGTGAAAGTTCGAGATATTGGAAAACAAAAAATGACAGAAAAAATATACCGTCACGCGGCACTTTTACTTTCAATTTCCATTTGTTTACAACAAGGTGCGTTTGACACCAAATGAAAATCTCTAACCAAAGGGCACCCCTCCTTTCAAATTTTTACCTGTAACTCCTACATATCTCAAAGAAACCCAAGTCTTGATATTACATTTTTATCAACTTTATTTCACTTGTCAAATACATATCAAGTCTTTTCTCTTATTGACCAATCACGCGCCAGGTAGCATTTTCTCCTCCGCACAACTTTGGGTGTCCAAAATGTCTGCGCCCATGTATTTGTTTATGTAGGGGTTTTTCCTATAGAGTAAAAGAAACATTTATAAAAAGTGGTCAATTTAGTAAATTTACAACACATATCCATTGCTTATCTCACCTCTTGAATATTGGGACTGACAGTCTTAGCTTAAGTACACCATTGGCTGTTACATTTCACACCCCAGTCAATCAGACCCTCATCTGTAAAACAGAAAAAATGTCAATAAATTGAAGCATTTTTCTATTTTTCTTTCAAACTTTTAAAATAAAATGATTAATCTCGCATATGTTTTGCTTGTTTTTCTTATTATCTCTAATAATTTCTCAAGGTAGATCATGTTAATCATTCAGGGTAGCAGGTACCCGTTATTAATGGAAAATGAAGAAAATCAGCAGGTTTTTGTAAGAAAAAGATGGGTTATGGAAAGAGTGAAATCTAATGTAGGTAAAATAATCAAGGGAAAGAAAGAGAATTATATGTAGTTCAAATGTACATAAGATTAAAAAAAAAATCTATCAGCAGTGGGTTGCTGGCATCAGAGAATCAAATACATCCCCACTGAAAATTTTGTAATTGTGAAGGGGGGTGACCTATATTTTAGCCAATTTTCATGGACATTTTATGGAATTGATGTTAAATATGTATATTCTCATGAAAGGCAAAGATATTCATTTGCATATCATTTCTTATTATTGACATAATTAATAAATTGATTAAATGCCAAGGGCAGATAAATCATATTGTCTGATTGAATACAGTGCTTAATTGTAAGCAAAGTGCTTAAATAACTGCAGTTCTGAAGAAATTTATTTTCTAATAATCTATCAAAAGTTCTAAATAACTTAAATATTAAGAGATGAACTAGATTTTCTAGGAAAAATATACCTTGGAACTCTTAATGAGAGCAAAGGGACCATCCTGAGAGTGTCCATGTGTAGTTCATTGTAAGAGGGGAGGGTTCATTAATCTCCTCTTTTTGAGAATGCATCGCTGAAATACATTTTATTTTATTAAAACATACTGATAAATGCATGTAGTAGCTTATATTATATTTTTTTATCATTTACACCATCTTTTGAATTTTTTATAAGCATTAGTGATGAAATAGCTTTAAAATATTCATGTTTAAATAGAATTTACTGAGATAATTATTTTTAAAAATATCTAAGAAATTGAAAAAAAATAACTGCAGATAAGCATGACTCTTGTTGTTCAAATAAACCACATTTTAAAAAAAATTCCTTCATTTTCCAGCATCATTAGAGTACAACCCCCCCCCTCTTTTCTGCAGAATAACAAGATTGGATATGGCAAGGAGGAAAGATATTCAGACACTTTTTTCATCATTTTTGCAATAATAATGAATTTGCAAATTTCTTAGATTTTCAATGTATTTTCTGCTAAAATATATTTTACAGTAATCTCAATTAAATTTCCTACTAGTAATCTCTAAGTTTTCCCCAAACTATAATTTTTATATCAAGCCAGCACTGATTACTTGACTGAAATTGGCTTTGTTGCTGGATTTAGCCCCTTAAGTAAAAACAAAGTAACCTAATTACTTAACAGCAGTCTAATTTTGTTATAAATTATTCAATCAACTCTAATTTACACAAATTTGAAAGAGGATTAGTCAATCTGTTCCAATGTCTGCACTCATAAAATAAATGGATTTAAATGAATTTCTCAAACTGCGAGGGGGATATTCATATGTTCTGTGTATTGATGATGCCCATAAACATCAATATATTGTATTATTTACAATATTCACAGTAAATTTCAGCAGAAATATTTATTTAAAATCATTTACATGTACATTTATTGAAAATATGAGAGCTAGGGCAAATATTTTAGCATTTTTTCACCATGTGCAGCCCCCATTGTGGACCTCAATTTACCCAAACCCTCTATTTTTTTAAGAAATAGTAAAAACTAATTAAAATATGATCTCAATGCCAAAAAAATAGGAACTGATTGATTTTTTGGCTGTAATCCATGTTTTTCCATGAAATACATACCTGTTCTATAGGACAAACACCACTAAATGTTTTCCCATAGACTTCCATACAAACTTGAGCCCCTGTCACTCATACATATATTGAATTTCGGGCAAATGGCCTTTTTGTCGTGAAAGTTCGAGATATTGGAAAACAAAAAATGACAGAAAAAATATACCGTCACGCGGCACTTTTACTTTCAATTTCCATTTGTTTACAACAAGGTGCGTTTGACACCAAATGAAAATCTCTAACCAAAGGGCACCCCTCCTTTCAAATTTTTACCTGTAACTCCTACATATCTCAAAGAAACCCAAGTCTTGATATTACATTTTTATCAACTTTATTTCACTTGTCAAATACATATCAAGTCTTTTCTCTTATTGACCAATCACGCGCCAGGTAGCATTTTCTCCTCCGCACAACTTTGGGTGTCCAAAATGTCTGCGCCCATGTATTTGTTTATGTAGGGGTTTTTCCATTTTATCGCTTCGTACCAAACAAAGAGCTAAAAACCAAGACAAAAGCAAATACTTATTATTTTCTGTACAGAAAAGGCTGTAGTCGTTCTCTTAGCAGACTACGGAAACTAGGTCACGATTTTCCGTTCGTGTGTCATCGGGGCTTTTACTTCTGTAACTGAATTCCGAGATAATTCTAAATTCTTGGAGGTGAACGTTTGGTTGGATAATTGAGAGGTCACCAGGAGATGACCCTGAATGGGGTCTCTTCACATCCTTGTGTAGCGATCTTTATGTGAGCGGATCAAAGGATCTGATTTTTAAAAATCAGATTGACACATTGTTTTTCAATATTTACGGAGGATATAAATTTCTTGCAATCTTGGTACAGTCTAAGGAAGTTCCATGGGGTCTGGTTTTCGAAATGCGTCAGTAAGGACAACGAGTTACTTAGCATTTTCTTGTAAATTTTCCCCCATAGAACGAAGAAGATTTTCAAAAAATTAATGCATTTTCACTAAATAATCAATAGAGCCCCACCCTAACACCAGAACCCCTGACCCTGGGGCCATAAAATTCACAATTTTGGTAGAGGCACTCTTGCTCATAATGACGATATACTTTAAGTTAGTTTATTTAATAAACAGAAGCAGAAAAGATTTCCAAAGAATTAATACATTTTCACTATATAATCAATAAAGCCCCACCCTTACACCAGAACCCCTGACCCTGGTTCCATAAAATTCACAATTTTGGTAGATGCACTTTTGCTCATCATAACTATGTACTTAGTTTATTTTATTTAATACCGAGACGCAGAGATGATTTTCAAAGAATTAATGCATTTTCACTTTATAATCAATAGAACCTCTGACCCTGGGGCCATGAATTGCACAATTTTGGTAGAGGACTCAATGCTTATTACATTGATGCCAACAGTTTTACAGCTTGATGTCCAGGAGTAAAGAAGATTTTTAAATATTTCATTAATGTTATTGGTTTTTGCCCCACCTTTCAGGCCCCAGGGAAGCGGAGACCATAAAATTCACAATTTTTTGCTCCCCTTCACTCATAGATTCTATATACCAAATTTGGTTGAAATTGGTTCAGTGGTTTCAGAGAAGCCGAAAATGTTCAAATGCCAACACACGACGGACGACGACGGACGAAAACAGATAGAAATAGGTCACCTGCGTGACTCAGGTGACCTAACAATTTTCTCACCTTGAAAAGTACAGCATACTAACTATTCCACTGGCTAATATATTGTTAAATACAGGTATTTTGATGAAATCACTGTAAAAAGTCTTTTATTATAGACTCTCCTTTCAATTAGCAAGAAATCTTGAATGTCGAAAGTATTAATATTTTTAAGATTAATATGATGCTGATTTCAGTAACCTGTTCAGTTAGCTGTAGAACTGTGGCGTTATGGTTTTATATCTTTGTCTTTGACCATAACGCTACATATCCCGTAATTTAGGGAGAATTTGTCCACTTTCCAGCATCGGTCAATTAACTCTCTTTCACTCCCTAATTCTATGTACATTATTTAACTAATCTGTATATATTTTATCCTCTTCTAACCCTTTATAGTCGTCTCTACAAGTGATATACTCGCTTGATTAAAATTATTTAATAGATTGTTGAAAATTCACATCAAGCGAGTTTATTGCCTGTACAGACTACTATAAATGGTTGGGAGGTGGATAAAATATACATATTGGCTACAGAATGTGTCTAGAATTAGGGAGTGAAAGTTGAATACCAATGTTAGGAAGTGGATAAAATTTCCCAAAAAGTGCGCAAAAATATTGCACCGTAAATTGTACGTTTTTTGCATTATGGAATTTGTAGCGTTATGTTCAAAGACAATATATAGAATCATAACGCTACAGATCTGCAGCTACTTTTCAGTCGTATATATTTACCTTTCAAAGGAAACAGATTCGATTTCGCCTTCAAATTCCTCCTCTTTTACCTCCTTTTATTTGGCCATCTACAAGTATTTTCATGTGTGTCTATCAAAAACTTCAATAAATGCTAGATTAATTAACTGCTAAAACAATCTTTTAAGCTGTCCTGATATATAATCATAGTTTCATCATCTAGAAGATTAAAACATTCTTGTTATTTATTTTTAAAGCATTATTTAAGTAGTTTTCCTCTTGATAATGATGCGTCTTAATTTATGTGTAATAATTTAATTTTTTAATGTGTGCATTTTGCTATAGTTATTCTTTTTATATCCTAAACTCTTGAATAAAACTGTACGGATTTTATTGTTTATACTCGTATTTGTTGTTGTTTTTTTTTTAAAGAAGAACTAAAACAATTTCAGATCATATGAGTAAGTTTATTTAACTCAAATGTTGTCGACGGCGTCGAGTTGTAAGCCCTCTGCCCCCCTAAATTCATTAGCCGCCTTAATATTCAGCAAAATTGTAAGTTTGCCCTACAGTTACGGAGGATTGTTCTGCCCTCTCTCGCCAAAGGGTCAAGACTGCAGAACGACCCT